GACAGAGAGTTGCGCTACTGTATATACTGTGGTGGGGTAAAGTGGAGCTGGCTTCACGTATAGTGGAATAGAGCGGAGCGATGCGGGGGCAGCGTCGTATGGTGTGGTGCGGTGCGGTCGATCGTGTTTCGTTTCTTTGGCCGGGAAGAACGATCGGCAGCTTTCGTTCGACGTTCATAGTTCACATCGCCACGGCGATTCCCAGCTGGATCGCGCACTCCGTTCCGAGACACGAAAGTTGACGAAAGTTTCTCGCGGAATTTTTTATTTTTGGAAAACTGGTGAAAAAAATGCTTTTCATCATTGGCACGCACACCAGACACTGAACACACTGTCTCTTTCACTATCGACTTATTCCCAGCTCCGATTCCTGACGCCGAAGGAGAGCGAGAGTCTCAGCATGTAAGTTTCAGCACGCTGAGCCATCGGAGGACTGAACGCGTCCTTCGGCGATTCGAATTTATCAAACCAGTTTCAAGAACGCGTGATTTTTCCCAAGCAAGGATTTTAAATGCCTTTCGTCCGGCCAGCCCGTTCTGTTTAGATTTACAATTCCCTCTTTTTTTTCAAGTGAGTCAGAGAAGAATCTTTCTTAAATTAACCATTTCCTGTATAGTATTTTTTGTATATTTTATTATTGTAATGATGTTTACTTCTTCTGTTCGCCAACTTTCAAGTTAACCATTTGAGATCACTACTTTAATTAATTTTTTTTAATTTATACCTGATTACCTTCTTTCTTATAAGCAGCTCCTAGGAATTACATCAAAGTAAAATTAGAAATTTAGAATTGTTTCCTATACATATATCTCTTTTAAATTACAATATTTCTTTTACTGTAATGACCTTGTGTTTACTCGTTAGTTTATCAACTTCGAAATTAGCAGCTACGTGTGCGAATAGGCGAAGTGCACTTGTTACGACGTAGGCGTTCGCGATTTCCGCGCATAAAAGAGAGAGGGACAAAAGAAGAAATTGTTATCAATTCAATAATGACTCGTTTCAATTTATGCTTGAATCGGTAGTCCAATAGCATGCTGTGCATAATCAACACTGTTCGCAATTGCAGAGCGCAAGATCGCAAAAAGCTAATAACGAATTCGATTACTCGCATTACACCAAATTAGTGCATACTAAAAGCTGTTTTATACGAAATTAGTAAAATTAAATAATGTAAAAGCATATAAATATTTTGAGCAATTAAATAGCCAATAATATTGTCACATTATTTAATGGACTATACATGTATTATTTCATTTTCAAATTTGATTAAATTATAATAAATTAGAAAAGAAAAAAAGACCGCCATAAATCATGAGAATCACTAAGAGAATCACCACTTACGGTCAAAATTGGTATAATACATCTATATCTATTTAAATATATTTATCTCGGATATATATGATTGTGTACTTGCGATGCAATTAATGATAATTAATTAAACTATGCCACTGCTTTACATAAAATAACATCTAAACAGCACATTTAAAATGTTAAAACTGGGTTAAAACAGTACCCAGTAAACACAATGTTACATGTAACGCACATGTAATATTGTGTTTACTGGGTATCTAAATAGCACATTTTTTAAACGTGCATTAATCCAATATAATACGAGTGATTAAATTTATTATATAAATATTGCTTTCAAAATGTCGAAAATATATGAGATACGTTTCTTTTCTTTTGTCTGAGGCAGTGATATCCGCGCGGAATGTACCTTCGCTATTTCAACAATCTGTTTTCGAACGACTATGTATCTGTATCTCGCAATATGATCCTACACTCCGTCGAGATAACTTGCTTATTAGCATAAAATGGAAATATGTCAAGCCATTCATCACTAAGTATATGCCGTAATGTTGTTATCATAGTAATGTTGTTATCATACATATTTTATTCAGATACATATTTTATTAAATATATATATATTTTTTACTTCAAATTGTAAAATTAAAATTATCAAAACAATTCTAATAAAATAATTAAAATTTATATTTTATTTAATCATTTTTCTGTTATAACTGCATTCTTTTTTCTAACACTTATTTATTTTTTATTGGCCTGAATTTGCATCCAAGATTTCATTATGTTGCTAATTACTTCTAAATATTAAAATTTACATATTTGATATTGGTCATAAAAAATTTTCCATTGTTATCTGGAAAACCTGGAAAAATCGAGAATTTCAAAATTCATTTTCTATGGCAATCTTGAACTATAAAGTTATAATTGATAATTAATATTTTATTAGATTTGATAGGCATTAAACGAAATAATTTGAGGAGCAGACTTCCAAAATGCATTTTGTTTAAAATTTCATTTTTTGAGTTAAAGATGACATAGTGTTCAGTGTTGAAAGACTTCAGTTTGAAAGACTATTGTACTCTACGATGTTCTGAAAGTATTTTTTTTATCACCAATTTATGTGCTGAAAAAATATAGACATTCGAAGTGTATTATGTCCTTTAACTAGAGACAAATAAAATGCATTTGTTTAACATTATTAGAAATAGTTTAGCAATTTTGTTTAACATTTTATATCTTACTGATTGGCAAAATGTTATTTTCTGTAAGGTGTGATTTCCTTGTGACTTTCTTTCTCGTTTTCTGAAGATAAATTTTGGACAAAACGCATTTTAAAAGTCTGCTCCTCAATTCCATTATCACGTTCCAACTTTCGAAGAAATTTACATATTAGAAAACTAGATATGATAAAATTTCAAATTAACTTTTATACTGGAGTCCCATGAGACGTATTTATCGCGTAATCGCGTAACCAATCAGTAATCAATAAGGCCCAGTTCCACAACTCACGGTTAACTCTTAACCGAGGTTCAACTTGTTTCTCATCTCTTTCCAATTTTAAAATTAGAAAGAGACAATGAATAAATTGAACCTCGGTTAAGAGTTACGCGGTAAATACGCCTCATGGGACTCCAGCATTAGGGTTACTTTAACAAACGTAATCGACCGATTAGTCCATTGAAATTGACCAATTACATTTGTCATTTCGTTTGACGACAGATGCGATTGGCCAATTCCAATGGACTAATTGACCGATTACGTTTGATAAAGTGATCCTAAATAGACATCATAAACGATACTAGATTAGGCCTGGTTCTACCAATGTAAGATTAATTTTAATTTCAGTTCAATTTATTTTTTATCTTTTTTAATTTTAAGAATTAGAAAAACGAACAGTAAGTTAAACCGAAATTAAAGTTAATCTTACATTAGTGGAACCAGACTTTAGTGTCACATTTTCTCAGTTATTCAGTTAACTCATTAATTATTTGAGTTATTTAGTTAGCAATAAATTCCATTCCGTATAATGTATTATTCCATATCATCCTGTGCTATCCCATCACATCCAGATCCTGCCGAATCCTCGTGACACGTCCACATCGAGCATCGAAGTTCGTTACAAGAATTTGAACCAACGATTTTGAAAAATGGTAGAAAAGAAGAAAGGCAAAAAAGTGAAGAAACGGGAGAAGAAGATCGTGGATGAGTATCAATTACGTAGAGACCTGAGGGAACAGGCAAAGATGATAAAGTCCGCGGACTTGATGCAGGAAACTGCGATGCCTACGCAAGTCGAGCCACAATACTCCGAGGATATTAGGATCGGTGGTATAGAAGGGTAAGTTTGTCTTTCTCTCAATCATGTTTAATTAATTCAATTAATTAAATCTTCTTATGTGTGTGCATTCCTGTAATAAAGAGAAATTCTGTTAAATTCTCGAGACAATTCAAATTTATCTATGATTATATACATATAAACAAAATAATGTATATATCAATATATTGCATTATTTTATGAGCTATAGCAAGCACGATCAAACATGCAAGATTATCGGAAGTTATCGGAACTGTGAGATACTGGAACGCGTTATGTCATAGTCTGTCACTTCTATGAAATGTGTTATGTCATACTCTGTCATTTCTTGTTTTCAATTTAAAAATCAACCGGCAATCCAGGAAAATTCGGATAATAAAATTCTTGTGAATTATTATATATTTCACTTTTTTTCGTCTGCGATTTTATCTGTCAAATCCAAATCATGACACAATCGATAACTGCTGTCAATCCAAGGATTGTTCGATAATTCATACGTACAGTTCGAATATTTCCTTTGCTTATTTCGTAATGCTCTTTGTAGCGTTTTGCAGTGTTTGCTCTCGTTTTTATTACAATGTTTATCTTATCATGGCGCAGTTACAAAGATTTACAACTGCAATTTTGCTTTCATCGAGGAAGAGAAATGCAAATATTCGTGCTGTAATTCATAAAACTGTTATTGTGTAGATAATTAAAAAAATATTCGGGTTAATTTTTAAAATACAAAGCGAGTTGCAGCAAATGCTTCACGAATCACTATAATTGGCAAATTGCAAAAAAAGGAGCAAAATTATATACGAAATTACATCAAAACTACATCAAAAACACGAAATACATTCTACATCTCGCGCGATAATATTTCTGAATCGGAAGTGGCTTTAATAATTAAAACGAATAATATCTGATATTATTCTTTTTCTCTCTCTTTCTTTCTAGAAACTAAGAAAATAAGCACTTTGATATTTATCGTTTCATAATTATATAGCATTAATAATTTTTTTATTCAAGATATATCGAATGATTTCTACAATTCTTATACGAGAGAAAAAGAGAGATATAGGGAGAAAAAGAGAGGATATTTGAGGCACTGATAACAGCAATCAGCGTTCATTAAGCCGGGCTTAATTATGACGGGTCATGCATATCTCCCGCTGAGTGGATACGTTGATATGTATCTTTATTTGTTAAGAAAATAATCGAGTCACTAAATAAGAGACAATATAACTGATTATGTAATTGGTTGTGTTGTACATACAGAGTGATCCAACGAAAAGAAGAGAAATTTAGATATATAATATCACAGAATTTAATAAGAAATATTTAGTTAACATCCGTGTAATTGATCAATTGCAACTATTAATCATCAATTAATTAACTTTCAGAGGCGCTACACATTCCATACTCATAATACTCGATAGAAAAGGTGCGAAGCTAACAGAAGTTAAAGGACCACACACTAATCATTGGGTGATTAAAAAAGATATTATACGAATAGTTTATCTTTAAAGTGTTATGTGAATCAAGAGGAAAATTTTAACAGGATTTTTGAAACTATTAAGTCTGCAGCACTTTCAAAATAAACAATTCGAATAATTACAGAAATGTTTTGCCTGCTGGAGAAAGTTATCACAAAGGAGTGAAGAAATTTAATTTATTTATAGGTAATCGGAAAAGACGAGACAGCTGCCAGACTCAGCGCGATGATAGAGAGGGGTAAACAAATGCTAAATATACCGGAAAATGTTCCTTTAGATTGCGTAGTGAGTAGAAATTTAGTATTTTCATTATTAATAACATATAATTACATGTATTACACACACACGCACGCATACATAATTACTTATAATATTATTACTGCAAAATATTAATAATATAATCATAAACATAATTAACAATCCTAAATGACACATAAATACCATATAAAATTATTTTGAAATAAACAGTAAAGTCCAGTTTACTCTGTGGCACTCTCAAATTTCGAATTTTCGATTAAATGGAATCAGCTTTGATTTTCGAAAGAAGGAATTCATTCAACGATTTTTTTCATCAATAGGCACTTACTTTAAGCGGTTGCGAGGAGGAGACCATCAATCGTGAGATTGTGGAAACTTTGTTGAAAAAATATCCGCAGTCTGCTAAAGACTACGTGATTGGTTCAGATACTCTTGGTAGCCTTAGGACTGGCCTGGAATCCGGTGGAATCGTGTTGATCGCTGGAACTGGCAGCAATGCTTTACTCATCAACCCAGACGGGAAGACTCACAATTGTGGAGGATGGGGACACATAATGGGTGACGAAGGAGGAGGTACATATTGTTTATTGTAAAAAAATATAATATGGAAAAGTTGGTTTCAGAATTAAGTTCAAAATCAGCTTTATTAGATTTTGGATAGATAAAAATGAATAGAAGAAAAATAAAAAGTAGAATAGTTTTAGAATCCTTAATTTAATTTCATCGTGTGTGTGTGTGCGCGCGCGCGTGCGCGTGAGAGAGAGAGAGAGAGAGGGGGGGGAAACAAAATTCATAAATAATATTTTATTCTTTTAATTGATAATGATCTAAATATTTATTTAAATAAATTCCTTCAATTTACATTTAAATTATTGATACTAGCTACTATTATTTTTTCTTGCTTGTTTTAAGCTTACTGGATCGCCTATCGTGCCTGTAAATATGTATTCGATGATATTGATGGATTAATTGAAGCACCAGAATCAATAAGTTACGTTTGGCCGGCAATGAGAAGTTATTTCAATGTAACTGATAGGCGCGGTTTATTACTATACTTATATTCAAACTTTGACAAAAGCATTATTGCTGGTTTCGCCAAGGAAGTTGCGATCGGCTGCGAGAGGGGCGATCCACTGTGCCTGAAAATCTTCGAGGAAGCTGGACAACTTCTGGCGAAGCATATTATCGCCGTTTCGAAGAAGGCGCATAACGTTAGTATCTTCAAAAAAACAAAACGATTTAAACAATAAGAATATTATTTTAAACCATACATGTGAGAACACAGTTAATACGAACTAGAAATTAAATGCCTATAATGATCGAAGCTGAATCTTTAATGCTTAAATAATTCAGTGTGAGAATTTATCTATACTATATATGTACATGTACATATATACCATATTTGAAAACAATTTAATTTATGTGAAATAAAACTTTGTAATAAAAAAATATTTTAAAATGCTAATAATTTCGTTTAATTGCATTTTTCTTTCAGGATCTCAAACTGGCTCACGGCGGTTTAAAGGTGATTTGTATCGGATCCGTATGGAAATCGTGGAAATTTATAAAAAATGGTTTCGTGAATGAAATCCACAACAGGAATGTTGTGGACGAGTTGAGTTTACTGCACTTGACAACATCAGCGGCATTAGGCGCCTGTTACCTAGCCGCAGAGAAGATTAATTGTTCGTTCGTCAAGCCGTACGATAGCAACGTCGAGACTTTTTTTCATTACAAGCGCGATCACTATCCGGAAACGCGAAAGACAGAACATTCGATAGAATTAAAAAATCATACGTCTGACTACAATAGTGCTCAGGTTCATGGAAACGAGGAAAGTACATGATAAGATATAAATAAATAAAATTTTGAAAAAAAAAACTAGCGTTTTTTAGTCGGTGCTGAAATACGTTATCTGTAAACATGTTACGAAAATAATAAAAACGAATTATTTCGCATGATTATTAATCGGAAAAATCTAAGTTCCTGATCGAAGCGATTACGAAGCACAAGTGTAGTAGATCTAAATATATGAATGATAAGCTACACAGATCTGCAAAAAATGAATCGCTTTTGTAAAAATTACAGATTGTAAATATCGATTTAACATGTACATATATAAATTTTTACGAAAGCAATATAATAAAATCTTCTTGAGCGAATGCTGTTGGAGAGTGATGTACTTTAGGATTATTTTATCCTTATAAACTTAAAAAAAATTAACGGCCATGATGGAAAAAGATAGATAGAAGATAGATATACAAAAAACCAAGTAATTTTTTATAGTGCAATCGAGATTTAGATTTTGTTTTCTTTATACGCACCAAATTTCACAGTAATAAAAGAATGGGACTAAAAGCCATCTGGGACACGGCATGGAGCTGCGTATGGTTGATTTTCAGTCTATTCATTAAAATTGTATTGTATTTAGTTTTGTTTATCTTCGGCTTCGTATTCTTCGCGGGCTGTATTGGTGCGATAATAATCCTCATTTTGTACGTTTTTGGCTTTCTATCGACAAACGAACGCAGATGATTAAGAGATCCACAAACTTATCATATCTGGTAAGAGATGTAATAAAATTATCATTAGTTAATTATAAATATAAATATATATAGTACGAGAGAAGTGTTTTAAGAAGCTTATCGCTGGCGTGAAATTATGTGGCAATGTATTTTTGAAAAATATATTTATATCAGGATATCACAATTTATCTCGTGTACATTACAGCAACACATATACAAGTATAATATCTTTCTCTCTTATTTATATGTAGACTCTGGCTAAAGCTGAAACTATCATAATTCATGTAGTTGAGTTTTTTTCATTGGAATCTTGTTTTTTAAAAACAAATTTTTAACGACATTTATAATTCTATATATAATATAATATATATAATATATATATGTATATAATATATGAGCTTTTGCATTGAATAACATTCATTTACTTAAAATTTAACGATTCATGTGTTTAAAAATATATATATATATTTAACACTATTTCCCGAAAACATGATCGAAACAGCCATTTAGGAATTATTATGCTGTCGTTGTATACATACATTTATTCTCAGTACGCATTGAGAATGATATTGAGTTCAAGATACTTCGTGAAATACTTAATGATACAATATGTGCTTGCTAAGAAGCAAAATATTCTTATTGTTAATTACGGCACTCTTACCTTAACGTCCTAGTTTAATCAACTTTATTCTGATTGAGACACACAAATCATTCGTCGTTTCACTTGTGATGAAAGCTAAAAAACTATTATAGACATTGATATCCATTTGGATTCATGTCTATATTCTAAATATAGTTAATTCTTGGCGATTTTTACGCGCGACCGCGCATACATTTCAATTTCACGTTACTATTTCGATATTTTTACATATATATATATACATATAGTTTTCATTTCATCGCTTGAAGATATTTAAACGTATTGATACCGTCGTTTGTACAGTTGAAATTATACTTACAATAATCACATTTTCATAAAAAAAATATCCAGATCGGTAATATACCTATCGCATAGTTTTCTCGTTTATGGATAACCCTAGAAACATAATGCGCAACGAATGCTATATTCGAATGCACTAATTCAATTTTCCCATTATACGCATAAAGTAGAAACTCATGAGTTTACAAACTAACAATCAGTGCTTTAAATCGAATATTTCTATAAGTAACGGCTCTACGCTGGATGGATTGACGTTCAAGTAAACTCCCACGACCTCATCATTCAGTTTATGAAGTTCAGAAATCTTCTGTATTAATTTGAGGAATGTGGATTTAGCTTCGCAACCAGGATAAACACTCTCGAGATACCGTCTAAGGAGATAATAATACGAATTCTGAAAGAAAGAGATCTATAAAAAATATAATCTTACAAATTTAATTTTCTGTTTCATATCAGATAAAAAAAATAAGAGTGCTAAAAAAACATATAAACTGATTATTAACTTTTATATTGATTTAATATTATGTAAATTTTACTGTAAATCATATACATATATTTTAATGTATAAGATTGTTTTAGAATAAGTTGCTTAAAAAATTTTGATTCGACTTACCTGCTCCAATTTAATAACATCACCATGTACAACTCTCGGTCTATCGGGAGTAAACAAAGCAATTGCACTTAAAATCAAAATGATGTTTTCATCTCGCCACCGGGGGTCAAATGTTCTGACGAACCTTGCATGCTCCGCATATAAATTTCCTTTCGCTTCTTTCAGAACGTCAACTTTGATACTTGACATGCTTTCTTGACTATGAGGTATCTTCCACATGTCTTTATCCGGATCGTAATTAATGGCCGATCTTAAGATCATCATTTCTGTGCAGCCACCTTTTAACAGAGCCAACTGATCCTCTTGACACATATTCTTAAAGGCGTTTATCTTCTTAGACATCTTTATCAAGCGTCTAATTGCTATAGCCGTTAAATTTATAACGTCTAACAACATTGGATCAGATTGTCCAAAATTACTCTGTAAATAAATATTTTATGTTTATATTATCTATCTTTCCCAAATTATACATATACGAAAGACATAACATTTTGGATGTGTTACTTTAAATTTACAATCTTCGTCAATCAAATTTGTTATATCATCGTCTAACGGAGCTAATAATGCTTTGTTAGCAACTATCAGCTCATTCAATTTCGCTCTCTCAGCGTCATTCAATTCTCTGCTGCTTTGGTTACCACCGAAACTAGAAAATGCTGAGTATTCTAACTTGATGGCTTCACATAAGATAGACTCTATAGAATTGGCAGCAATTGCTATCCTGAAACAAATATTAAATTTTAGGTGGATTTCATAGCGTTAAAATATGATGCAGCGGGCTACCTTTGAACATCTTGAAGAATATCTCTGGTAACGTCAGCTGTATTTTTATTCCAGTCTGCATTTGTATTAGGTTCTAAATTTTGATCTTTGCAATCTTCCGTGTTACGGTTCGTAATCAAGTCCGTCAAGATTGGATTTTCCACGTGACTCCCTTTAGATCTTGGCGTATATCTAGAATCATCCGAACCGCTATTATTTTCCGGAGCTTCTTTGGATTGAACTTTTGTTTTGACATCACGCCCAATGATCGTTGTATCGAGTGTGTTGTTCTCCTCCAAGAATTGCGTGATGTATGGATCCGCTGCCAAGCACGTGACCATATCAGGATCTGTCATAATCTTCATTATTACTCTCCGATCTTGAAATATTTTCGCTACTAAATTTGGATTACTGACAAACTTTGTTAGTAGGCTAGGATTCTGCTTAAATTTTGCGACCAAATTACTCCCGCTTGAACATGTTTCCTTCGGCTTTTGACATATTGATGTCTCCTCTTTCGTAAGTTGCGACAACAAACCCAGGTCAGACTGACTTGTCTCGCCTTGCAAAGCGCGATCTACGTAGGAATTCTGTTCACGAGTTTGCTCAAATTTGGAATAATTTGACACGTTTTCTTCGAACGCAGAGCTGTAGTTTGATGATTCGCGGTTAACATCTGCAAACTCGGAATTGAATTGCAGCGAATTTTGCTCGTATTTCCCTGAATTCGGAGAAGAGTTTTTGTCCGTCCCTATACTCTGAGGCGCCACATTGAGATCGGCGAATCTCGCGCGGCTGTAAACAAATAATATCTATTTAATCTTTATTGAATAATTCACTTCTGTGTCCTTCTCTACATATTAGATAAGTCGGTCATACCTTGCAAGATTAGTCCTCAAACCGTGAACGGACTCCTTCAGCATGTCTAAAGTCTTTGTTTCAGCAATATTCGTATTCTCTGATGGACTTGAAGGACTTGGCACGCTCGCTGCTGTCACTGGACTCATACTTTCAACGACGTTTTGCCTATTGCTATCTAGGTCTGTGTATTTTCTATCGGATTCCCAAAAGTATGTTTCCGATATTGTCGACGCGACCGAATTGACCGACATTGACGTGTCTTCAAACGTACAGTCGTCTACGCAGTCCTTTTTGGTCTTCGATGTTTTACCATTGTCAAGCTGAGATCGTTTCTTTGCGCGATTCTTTTCGATTTTCTTACGTTTCAGGACCTTGTCCTCCTCAGACATGATATATTCCTTGCGCATGCCAATATTAAAACATTTGTCCAAACGACATTTTTGACAAAATCGTCTGGTTATAGTCGTGATGTTACAGTTTTCCGTGAAGGGGCATTTAAAGTCCTACACAATAAGAATACATGTTTCTTTTTAACTTAATTTATAAACTTATAAAATATGCTATTTTACATATTTACTGATAACATTCTTATAAATTTCAAAAATATCATATAAGCAAAGAACTTTGTTATCTTGATATCTGTATCGGTCTGTTTTTAATTGATCTCACAAATAAATCATAATAATTTTTTGCCCTGCGCTAAATGAAAGTTGTTTTAAATGCAAAAATATCAGTTTTAAATGCTAAAACATCAGTATCTGAAAGAAAATACATCTTATCTAATGTTCTTAACAGTCCATTATCAATAAATTTCAATGTGCAGATGTTGCTTTTAAGATTAATAAATGCATTTTCTATATATACATCCATTATTAATCTTTTGGAAGGTCAAATGAGATGTTCCAATCGGTGTATTTGTAAACAAATTATGATCGACCAATGAATACAAAGTTCTTCTTAATAACAAAATCTTCAAAATATGAAATTAATAATTAGTTGTAGAAAATTAAAAAAACTTTTCAGCTTAAGAAAGATTTAATCCACTTTTTGAATGTGAAAAACTGAATTTGAATTAAGTTCTCTTCAATATTAAGATTAATCTTCTTGAGTTCTTTCGAAATGATTCAAACTATAACTAATACATTTAATATAAAATGTTACGTGATTTATTTTTTTGAGAATTTGAAGTTCATAAAGCATTAGATTACTAATGAATCATATGCAATCATCCAACAATGTTTATCTAATATATAATTCTTTTAATAAGTCAGATTTAAATTTAAGAAAGAAGTTTCTCGACATTAAAATTAATGCTGGAAGATAAAATTAAATTTCTTTTTAAAGCAATTTCCTCAGAAATAATTATGTGAACAGAAAATTCATTGGAGTCTCCACAAAAATTCAAGGAATTATGCCTGTATTCACAATCCTTATATTTAAGGCTTCCTTAAATTTATCTTCAGATGCTCTATGAATTATTTTATTGGCTACTGACTATGAATACGAACAGATTCAAAATCAAGATTTTCTGAATATGAAATTAAGATTATTTCCTCTACAAGATAATCAGATAAAAATGCTTCAAATTGGAGCGGAATTCACCTTGTTCTTCAATGCGTTTCTCCTGAAGAAAGCCTTGCAGCTCTCACAAGAGACAGCGTTGAAGTTGTAACCAAGTGCCCGGTCACCACAGACTCCACAGATCTTGTTGGCTTCCCTCGCCGGCTGTTCATCATCCATTGCTCTTGGATCAGCGTTCTCCACGATTAACACGTCTTATCTACTCGCACAGGCAGTAACATCGTTCTGTAATCTTGCTTTCGCTCTCCTCTCACCCTCGTCTTATCCCGTCCCTTGCAACGTCCTCTTGCTCGCGGAGCGCCATTGACTCACGTCAACATTGTTTATCGCATCCGTAGTGCCTGCCGGGGGCCAGGTCGTTTCACGACAGCATCTTCTTCTTCCTCTTCCTCGCCCAACGTAGCTAAACAGGCCCCGCTCAAATCCGCGCCTACAAAAGTTTCCTAAGTAATAGTGCCGAATGAGGCACTCAATTGACGGCTCCACTTGTCAACAGTTAATGAGACAGTGCGCACAAATTCGTCGTATAATCCGTTCATCCCGCCGTCCCTCTCTCTCTTTCTTGCCTAGTCTATCCTTTATACTGCAGATGCATCTATCATTGGAGGTACCACGACATCGCAAACATGTTCTCGAAATGTAACTAGGCCTTATCCACGACCACGACCTCCACAACGTCCACGTGATCGCAGGCCATTCTCGCGCGCACTTTCAAACAGACTTTCGGAAAGATTATCGTAAAATAAGGAATTAAGGATGTAAGCGTTGAAAGCATCCAAAATGAACGCAGCCCGAGTCTCCGAAAAATTTCTTTTTCTTCCTGATAAAAGTGTTGGATAATTTTGACAGAAAAGCGCAGAAAACTAAATGCGGAAACTCTTCAACTACAAGCTATCGAATTTTTCAGGCATTTTTTCAATTCGAGCTTATACTTTTCAGGTTTTATAAATTGGAACTTAGCTAATGTTGAAAATTTTTGTTAAAATTAAATAGATACAAATGACTTACAAAGTAATTCAACTCGTGCAGAATGCTGTGTGCAGCAAGCAAACAAATACAATGTCAATAATACGCCCCGTTATAATTAAAGAAAGATTATTACCAGATAACATTTAGCGCTCGAATGTCACAAATTTTACCGACACAATAGTTTCTAATTATTACGTCACGTCAGAAGCATTCAATAAAAAATATACCTATTACTCTGATTTATTTATTGCAAGCGTTTCCTTCCTCCGAGATCACTGAATCCTTATAAGTTATTTGGTTAGATATATTGACTGATTAGATACATGACAAACCCAAGTTAATGCGAAGGACGTTATGATTCTATTTTCATCAATTAACTTAGCTCACAGTTCAAGGGCATGCACACGATCGTAGACGATAATCGTCGTGATCCCGAGAAAAGAGATAACGTATACAGTTACACGAGTCTACGACAATCAATCGCTGGAAGCCTCTCCACAACTAACAGGAATTAATTTCGTTCACTGAAAGAATTCCACTACTGATCGCGCAACGATGGTAACAACTTCGGAATCGTTTATCAATACGTTCCGTGACTTGGTCGGCGTTATCGTTATCATCCACATTCTCGGTATCAAGTGAGATATAGTCAAATGGCGCAGACGTATGTGCTCTCATATGATTCACATTTACAAAATTGGATCGCGCTTAGTCGCAATTGGCGAGGAAGAGGATGAGAGACAAGAGAAAACGTAAACAGCTACGGAAGAAAACGGTAGGATCGGTATTGCGTCGTTTCATTTATGGATGTGCGAACATTCGTCTCGTATACGCATAGAAAAGCATCTGTATAATTTTCTAAGAAAGATTTAATAAAATCTTCATACACGTCATTGGTTCCTCGAAAGCCAAAATATGTCCATGTGCACACAAACAACTCAACAATTATTTATCAGTCATCGTAGATTAAAAAAGTGACTGATGCGTGGACGAAAATATAACAATACTAAAAAAATAATACAATAAAAAAAAATAATACAATATTATTTCCCCGTTTAACGAAGCATTCACAAAATTCATCTTAAAAACTACTCTTTTATACGCATATCGTAGCCATAAATATTAGTTTGGAACAAAAGTTTGTAACGCTACAAACTTCAAAATTCAAGCAATTATAACTTTATTAAAATGAACAAAATTTAAATAGAAAAATAGAAAAAGTTTTAAGACTTAAAATCTCAACTTTCGAAAGGTCGCTATATTTTTTGAGTTTCTGTGAATTTGGTAATTTTTACATATAGAAAGCTACGAGCTGGAAAAAATAAAATTTTTTTCACTTTGATTTGACACGGTTCAAAAAAATTTTCGACTTTGTAACGTGAAAGCTTAAAGCTTTCCCTATAAAATCGTTTTTTAATGTCTCTAATTTTTTGTTATTGAGTTATCGAGGATAATAAATAAAAGAAGCATTTTGACTTTAATTGCTCATAATTCCATTTAAAATCATCGCGCGCAATTTAAAAAACATAGATTCTATTAAAGTTGAAACTTTGCTCTATCGAATAGTATAATTGCCAATTTTTTTTTAAAAACATGTAAACATGATACAAATACAGCGCTATGAACTTTTATTCCTAATATATCTACTTATAATTAGTAAGAGATTGAGATATATATTAAAAATATGTAATATGTTTATCATAACAGAGATCCATTTAACATTCGAGTTTATTACGTCATTTTATCGAAGGCACGTATAATTGTCGAGATAAATCTTAGACATAAAAATCGAATCAGAACAGATTGTCATTGGAATAATATTAAAATAACAATATTTTGCAACGCGATTACGAAAATGATTAATTCATGTACCTATTATAAATGTACACAAAGGCACCACTTAAATTCTTGTTCGTCAGCCTATTCTTTATGTTGTTGAAATATCTAGCAAAAATGTTTGTTCGGCAGTGTTTATGCACATCACGTATAACTCTTATGTACAGCGAAATTATCGACGAAGATCTTTTCTTCCTGCCTAAAGTGGAATTGGACGTGGACTAAAATCACTTTGGTGGAGTATCAGTCAATCTAGTACTTCCGGTCTGTACACCGCCGCTGTAGAGCATGAGTTCCTCCTTCATATGAAACACTACGATCTCTTCAACCGTCGAGAAAGACAGCTCGTTCACTTTCGCGGAGCCCAATGCGTATCTAAACAATTGTAGGTAACATTCTTCTAAACCAAATTTTATTTGTATATGTTAATAATAAATTAACAAAAAATAGCTTTATAAGTATTGCACGCGAATTATCAATGAAAAGAATGATTTTCATATCCGTACTCATTAATAAGATAAAATAAGCTGATATATTAAAATGTTTCAATTATATGTAAAATGTTGGTCCTATAAGATTTTGTCCAATCATTTTATCAGGTTAATACAACATTAACATAATGTTTTTCACAACAGCTAAAATTGAATTCGAATGTTATTAAATACACGGCAAAAAACGTGTTAATACAATAATAACGTTAATAAACAAGGTGTATACCTGTTGTCACTTCTTTTTCTAACCGGAACATTGTAGACCCTATCCTTATACCAAAGAACCAAGGTTAAGGGGTTACCAAGATTTGTCATCGACGGTCTCAAAAGAAAATATCCATCTTGCGGATTACTGTAAGTACCTTCTAAAAATGTACAATTACATATTCAATAGCTACCTCGTATCAAATTATAAATTCTACATTATTTTCATATATTAAGTAAAAAGTTTTATAATAAAAAGATAAAGTAGATCAAATATATATAAGATATTTCTATTATAATGTTCTTATATTTTTATTCTTAGATATTTCTATTATGATGTATTCTAAAGTTGTAATTCACGACCTCAATTTTGACAATTAAAAAAATTTATGCTCGAGTTTCTCTTTGCAAAGCTTAAGCATTAGAAATATAATTGTAATTTTAAAAAACCAGTTAACACATACGTTCTTTGATCAGAATAATTGCTTGTTCCCTCGAAATATTATGAAACCAGGGCTTGTCTATATAAGACCTTTCAGGCGGCGGTGGTAGCGGCCGCGTGGCTCTCTCGGTTGACAGCGAAGTGTTACTGCCAGCATGAGGTAACGTGGCTGATTTCTTATCCGGTGATCGCTCTGCAAATATGTAAAAATAGATCAAGATCAAGACAATATACAAGGAAATGTCGACAATAATTGCCACGTATTTACATAATACATATATCAATGTGTAATAACTCTTTACATTCGTACAATAAATATACAGTTCCAAAGAATGGAAACAAAATGTGCATATAATATTAAAAATTTGTGTTATCAAAAGAGTAATTCAACAACTACATAATTTAATAAGAATTTTAATTTATAAAAATGAGAACGATATACCACAAAATATACATCGTTGTGCAATGTGTAAAAATCTTTTCGATTAACACTAAAATCGCTAATGATGTCCCGTTAAAACTGCCGAAAGCACTAATTTGATAATTTCCTATCCTTGTTTTCAGTTAGTGAAAAGTTATTTTAATATTATTTATAATGTTAGAAATATTTGCATTATATTCATATATTTTCAATATTCTGTACTGTATACGAAAAAGAAAAATTGAAATAATTAGGTGCTTTCCATTTGGTGATATAAATCGACACAAGGTTCATTTTTGTTACATATTAAGAAAGACAGAATAAGGTTTATATCAACTTGGGATACACTCACTAAATTGGGAAGCACTCATTAGTGAAGTCAAAATAACACCATCGGCGGTTTTAGTGTTAAAATACAGGTAAATCACATTACTAACTTGCTAAGTTAAGTCGAGCTTGCGTAAGAGTCTCCTGTGTCAAACACTCTGAAAAATTCGTTTGCCAGCGTACCGTCGCATTGAACGATATATTTCGTTTTGTATCGCTAATTATAGTTGCCATTGTGTTACAAATTTGTCACGTATTCTCGATGCGAACACGTTTAGAAATATCAACAGTACATTGTCGTGAATTTTTCTATCATCTAAAACGCATTCTTCGGAAACGCACTAATTTGAAAAACACGCACACGATACGGTTGTCGTAAAAATCCCGACGAAACTGATATTTGACTCCAGAGCGAGCCTTTTAAAGCATCACGAAAAAGAAAAGTGGTCAATCCGTTGGTCTCTCGGCATGGGATATTCAAAGCGTGTCCAAGAATAACTTCCGTAAATCAGAACGAGAGAGTCAACGATCCTATGCAGTGATTACAGGAAACAAAGAAGATCTGATAAAAGTGGTTTCTTCTTTGTAAAAAGAAAATGAATTGTCGCGTGTTATTTCCCACTAAGGCAGTGAACTAAAATGTAAGACGTATAGAAATAACATGAGCGATGATTATCAATAACATAAATTCCAATTGTTGGAGTAAATCACACAAAAGAAAGATCACATACTTATATTTTTAATGTCGAGAAAGTTCAAATTTAATAGACTGAATATAATATATCCGAATGAATAATGTATAAAATTTACTTATACGTTATTTCGGAAGCATTTTCACTAATTTTTTAAAATAATTTACCTGCTGATATCACGGTGATATTTGGATAATCTTATCTTCATAAATTATATTGCAAATATCAATTAAGAATTACATTATGAAGATATAATTATATTAAATTACATATTATATGATATAATATATTATCGAAAATTGATACATACGGAAAGCAAGATTAATTTCCAAAATTTAATTTATTTCTATCCGTTAAGGTTCGACGATCTTCGGTAAATGAAGAGCGAACAAATGTTCCATTAGTGGGATATTCTCACGTAATACTATGATCACATGACATCGTACCGGAGCAAACGTAGATAAGTCATCGAACAATGCGTTGTTTAATCATTTTGTGTA